CCATAAATGGTTGGGGAGCAGGCCTTGAGGATTCATCCTTAAATTAGCCATAGCCATATTGTGGACATATTCCACATTGTTTGATGATTTGACCAGAAGTCTCTCTGGTTAAGCCAAATTTCTTTCTTAGACTTTCTATCATGATGAAGAAAGTTACAAGCCTGTCAAGCTTTTTCTATTTAAGGCAAATCAACTGATTTTGTAATCAAATAATTCATTCCATTTGGCCAGTAATCAGGGAAAGACCTATTTAATAGGTTCCCAGTGTGACCCATAAACATGGTAATTCTTAGGTGAATATTTTGAATTTGCTAAAATTAATCTAATATTGGATCCTATGTTTGGAATAGTCTCTATTGCCATAAAATCCTTGAAGACATAGTGTCTCTCAGTATATAAATTAAATGAATTATTTACCAGGATTTAAAAGACCATTATAACAGCTTGCAATTTAATTATTTGAGCTGAAGCCAGAGCTGTCTGCTCTATTTCTTTCTATTAATAACCTTTATAAGTGACTCTCCCAATAGAACCATTGGTAAAAACTAACATAGCATATTTTTATAGGACTGCTCTTTACAATTTTGGAAATACAAAAGATGCATTAGTGCAAATTGTAACAGTTCATGAGCTAGAAACTGATTATTAATTCTTCCTGAAAGCTGAGCAAAGACAATCACCCATTAATCATTGTTCTGAAACCATCAATTAAACTGTTGCTTAGAGTAGGAGACATGTATCAAACTTAGTTCTCTTCTAAAATACTTTCTAAAATATTGAATGAATGTGCATTCGGGTGTCAGCAATATTGGGGAAGCTGCACACCCCAGCAAGGGTTACAGGCTCCTTATATAGAAAAAAACACAGATCAGCATATAGGCAAGGGGCACAAAGTGATTGATTACAAAGTATGATCTCATGTTAGAGTGGTCACCCAGGTGTGACCTGCTTTTCTACAAAGGAAAAAACATAGAACATACCCTGGAAAGTCCTTGATTGTCTGTTGGTCAGCCAGGTGTGACCCAAAGAGGATTGTCTTGGCGATTGCCCCTGTCTAAACCACAGGATGTGCCCATGGTTGGGGCCAACCCCCTTGTAATGGGCCAAGGCCTG